TGCAAGGAAATGAGCGATATCTCTTACAAATATTATAACAAATCGGTTGGTATCAGTCGTGTTTAGAAGGAGGTTGTTTTCGTAGATATGATTGATTAGATTTGAAATTGATGAGAATTACGTTGATTATTTATAACAAAGTGATTATTTATTTTTGCAAAATAGCAGAATACAGTTTGATGCAGTTATTTTACCGCGGAGGTACTTGAATCCATTGAATAAGGCTAGAATTTCGAATCAAGCGAAATCCCCTTTCTTTGATATTATCTTTTTCTTTCTCTAAACAATTTAAAATCCGTTGAAAAAGTCTAGAATCAACGTAACTGTGGGCGTGGCTAGTTTCGGACGCACTACTCCCGTTCGCAATGACACAATACTAATACAGTAACTCAAAAATCGTGGTGAGAAACAAATAAATTTAAAAAATATTGGGCTGCAACAGTTTTGTAAGGATTTGCAGCTTTATATTCTGTTTAAAACATACATTTCTTAACACGATTCTTTTTGCACTGTAACTTGCTACAATTTTCATTTTACACTTGTCAGTTCTAAAATGTTGTTAATTTTCTATTTTCTTTTGGTAAAATTTCTTTTTCCCTGACTTCTTTCGTCCTTTTTTTCAAATTGGAAGGATACAGAATTTCAGAGGAACATTCTGAGGCAATATCTCACCCGTCCTTTAGTCTGAATAACATATCATTAAGCTTTATTTGATATAATCGTTATTGCGCACAGAAAGATAAAAATATATGTCACCAATAGATAATGCTCAGTTTCTGCCATTGTAAAGGCATCTGTTCAACTACAGATATATCGAGAGTACCACATATACTGATTCAGTCATCAGATGATATATATTATCGGATATCACCCGATTTCTAGTGCTTTTCAATGAGTTATTATCTTCTCTCATGATTCCATTTTATAATTTGTTCGCCTCTTGCTGATATTCACTAATATCTTTTCTGTTTTAAATGACATCGCAGAAACTGTAACTTTCGCGTTATGTTCACTGTCGTTCTATTCAACTCTAACAATCGGTATGCATGTCATGAAATTTTATTTTATGGAATGCATACAGACTGTAAAGTTTGCATCAAATTTCAAGATCAATCGGTTTGTTTCCCCTTTCCAAGTATGGATGAGGAGGATGCGTGTGGCTCGAAAAAACCACGCACTTCAGAGGTTAGCGATGGCATCATATCAGTGGACGACGTCGCTTCTGAGGTGTGCGTCGTTGAATTCGCTTGTCTTTTCACTTGTATAATTTCACATTTTATTAAGAAATTCACCTCTTTATGCTGCACTTTCAATTTGATTGGTCCTTAATAAGCAATCTTCTTGTTAATTTTTATGTGTAACTGACAAAAACAAAACTTATTGCGTTTGTTGTTTATCAATTGATCATTGGAAAGTTGATTGCATATTGTTGATTGTTGAGTTGTTTGCTTTTATCGAGCTCTGTGATTGTTCAGAAGAGTGTGCGAAATTTGACGAAAAGAGAGCCGTTCGGTGCGAATCACTCGTTCGCACGACAAGGTGGCAAATATCATCTCCTGATTGGCATCAGTGGTTCGGTTGCCTCGATTAAACTTCCCGAACTGATCGCTGAACTTCGTAAGCGTTGCCCTCCTGATCGTTTGGTTGGTTTTCTGTTTTGTTTTTTGTTTTCTTATGGAGGAATCGGTCATCAATTGGTTTGATCGATGTTATTTCGTTATCACAATGGACAGGTTGTGAAAGAATTCGCGAGTATATTAACGTTTTCATGTCAGAGTATTGCTTTAGTTGTGCCAGTGGTTGAGGTGTATGTATGCTCATTCACATAGTAGTAGTCGATTCGTTTAGTCACGCACCTAATTGTAAGTATAAGGTAACGGCCGTTATATCGAATGCTTGTGTTACCGTTGGAATTTTGAGGTGATTCGGTTGATGAGTACCGAATCAGCGAAATATTTCATCAGTGAAGAGGATGTCGGCCAGCCAATATATGATGATGCGGATGAATGGAATATGTGGAAGAAACGCGGTGATCCAATCCTTCATATCGGTCTGTTTCATTTCCATTTGTGGATTGTTTTGCGGATTTGTGAATACAATAAAGAAGAATCACTTTCAGAGCTACGCAAATGGGCAGACGCCTTGCTGATAGCACCATTGGATGCGAATACACTAGCAAAAATAGCGAATGGCTTATGTGACAATCTGTTGACGTGTGTGGTGCGCGCTTGGGACATGAGGAAAACACTCTTCTTTGCACCCGCAATGAATACGGCCATGTGGGAGAGTCCGATCACCTATGAACAACGAAAAACTTTGAAGGAATTTCTGAGATTCAAGGTGAGAGATGAGATTCGAGTTGATTTATGTAGATGCATTGTATGGAGAGGAATGTCTTTGTATTGCAGGAGATTCCGGTTTTGGAAAAAGAGCTGATGTGTGGTGAGCGCGGTTATGGTGCGATGGCCACCGTGCAAATGATTTCGACGATGGTAGCGAGCGATGTGAAGAGTCGATTCGCCGTTTATTCGGACTCCAATCCGACTTCAGTGCAATCCTAAAGAATGTTATTCGCTTGTTAATTTTCGTCTGAAACCAATAGAGATCTTCCTGTTGTTGTTGTTGTTTTTGTTATCTTGACTGTTGTTACTGTAAAAATGTTTCATATTTTAGAGATTACTTTCGATTCAGTTGTCTCTTATTGCACATTTTAAAATTCTTTGAAAAGTTGTGATGGAATTAAGCAAGTTGTGATGCAGTTCACTGCATACCTCGTTCCGTTTCAGAGATTGTTTGCTGTTGCGAAACTGTAGGAAGAAAGTATGTGTACGATAGATCTCAACAAGACTAGTGTTTTAGTACAATCTGTGTGCTGATTGTGAATATTTTACAGAGTTGATGCAGTAATTCTGTTTTGAATGCTACAATTTTTGTATTGATGTTATGTTATAATTTGTTGGTTTTTTGTAGTGGCTTAAGATTATTGTTTAGTGTTATTGTATATACGTTTATGTGAATCTGAATGGAATGATCAGATGAATAAATCTGCATTTGAACTGATTTGATTTGATTTTGCATCTCTCCTTTCACATCCTTTCAATAAATTCAGGGTTAAGATGTCAGAAACGACAGTAATTCAACTTAGAGATCTGATCTTAAGACTAAGATAAATTATGAGACAGGATGTGGTGGTTCTGATTGTCCATCCGAATATCGTTCTGGTTTCAAAACCATATAAGAAATATTATACTTGAACATGCTTTGTTCACGATCTTCTGGAAATCATCCAAGTGTTCCGGGTGTGTGCTCCTCTAATTGTAAGCTTAAGCATAACTTAAGTCCGAACCTGATCGTCTAATCATACACTTAGTTGAAGCAGTCGGATCAGATCAGATCGATATTGATCTGCGCGATCTATGCGATCGATCTGAACGCATTTCACTTCCTTCCGTCATTTTGTTCAATGTCAATAAGCTCAATAAGCAACAATACACTCACTCATTACCTTGCTAAATGACATCGCGATCGCCTATATCAGAGATCGTTTTGAGCTGAACAAATAGCCAAGTTGCACTTTAGCATAGAAGGATGGATATGTGTGGATATATGTCAGAGAAGAGTGAGTGGTTGGTGTGCAGTTGAATAGGGTAATGGGGATAGATTGACTAGTGGCTTAGGGGAAGCATGAGCATTAGTAATCTATTGTCGTAGACGAATGAATGTGAACGCTGGAATTACGAATATAAATGTATTGATTTTGATGAACTTGTGCTTGGTTTTGTGTAATAAATATGAGTATATATATATGATAAAATTGGATTGCATTTCGAATCAGTTTGTGAACGACGTGTATTATGTGTTGGGTGTGTGTGCGTTTTGTTTGGTTTGTTTAATCGGATTAGGAGAACAGTGCGAGTTGTGAGAATTTTATTATGAGAACTCCGAGCTTGGTCGCTTTTATTTGAAGTGTTCGATATTTGCATTTAGTGGTTTATTTTCGTGGATTGTGTTGTTTTTATTATAACTATATTATTATCAATGATATTGTTTTTATTGTGATTCTTTTAAGCGGGTGTGTTAGGTTGGTTGCAATAGAGCTAGAATTTTAAGGCACGGACTTATCGTCTTAAGAAAATGTGGGTCTTCGGTTATGGATCGCTGCTATGGTATACGGATTTTCCGTACGATAAGGCCGTGCCGGGTTGTGTGCGAGGCTATTCGAGACGATTCTGGCAGTTGAGCCCAGACCATCGAGGCACACCGCAGAGTGTACGTTTCGTAGAATTTTATAGAATAGCGATTGTTATTGATTTTATAACATTTCATTGCATTTGTATCACAGATTGTTATTTTTGTAGTGTTGTGTTATGAATGGTTGAATTATCGTTATCGTTATTATAAAGGGTTATTTAATTTCAGCCTGGTCGCACGGTCACTCTGGTGGCCGATCAGAACGGTTCGTGTTGGGGTTTAGCCTACAAGGTGCACGAATCGCAAGTGGAGAATACAATCGAATATTTGGATTATCGAGAAAAGGCTGGATATGTGGTGAGTATCTCATTGCAAGTTCACAGTAATGGAAATTGTGATATTATTATCAATTGTTTGTCAAAGTAAAAACAGAGAAAACAATGAGAGCAAGCAATTAAGACGAATGAAAATGACAATTTTAAAGATAAGAGTAATGTTCTTGGAATCAACGTACGTTTCCATGTTAGATCAATCCATTTTGTTTGCCGATTTTAAATATTCAAACGTTTTGGATTTGTTCAGCGCGAAAAAGTGACATTTCATCCGGACGATGGAAGTGAAGCATTCACTTTGAATGTCTACATAGCTGCAGCCAATTCAAATCCTTACTATACAGGACCGACGGACGTTGATACGATTATAGAAACGGTACGTCTTTGAATTGTTCTTTTTTCTTAAGCACTTTATTCTGTATCGATTTACGAGTATGGGACAAGAAACAGTTTTGTGGTGAAATTTGTTTGTTGAAATGAGAAATAGAGTTTGAGTCGTTTTCTTTTAGATTCTTTCATCTCGTGGTCCGAGTGGAACCAATTTGGAGTATGCGTTACGTTTGGCAGATTGCGTTCGACGAATGGCACCGTCGCATATTAAAGACGATTATTTGTTCACAATCGAGCAGAAACTTTTGAGCAAGTGTCGCGAACTGGGCATTCGAGATCGAGTGCTCAACGATTTAGGTATTCTGCCGCCTGTAACGGCCATAGAAGCAGACTGTTCTTCAGACACTGAGAACGCTGACGAAACATCGAATTCAGAAAATTAATTTTAGTGACACATACAGAAATTGGAATTTGGTCATTGAAAATCGTTGGTTTTGCGATTTTTTAAAGACATTTCGCCTTTAACTGAATGTTTTTGGATAGACCGTAGAGTTTTAAATAGAAGTGTTTTTGTAAAGCGTTGAAGCATACGTACATATGGCGTGCGAGTTCGGTCTTGATTATATGCGAGTCAATTTGTTTTTATGAATTTGTTCGTTTTAATTTAATGATTATGAACGAAGCACATTCACTGAGAGTGAGTGAGTGAACGCATTCTCTGTTATTATTGCCCTCAATCTATTCAACTGAATGCCATTTGAAAATTTAAAAAAAATATTTTCAAATTGGCATTTTGCATTGCAATTTCATTGGGAATACCATAGCGACGATAATGATAGATAATGGCAGTGCTGCTGTAATACTAATTGAAGAGCATAATACACTAATAATCATTGCCCGGTGTCTCTTAATCGATTCACTAAATCGTTCCTTCTGTCAGATTATTAGTCAGTCTAAATGTCAGCTTTGCTCTACCTAAACGATTCCCAGTGGACAGTTTTCAGTGAAACTTTGCCGAGAATCTTCTCTCGACAAACTTGCGGAGAATACTATCTTAAATTACTGTTATTATCATTGATATGTTGTTAAATTATTGTTATCGTTATCATTTGTTACGTTAAAATTAACTTGATCACTTTGTAATATAAATGTAACTGTTGATGTTATCAGATTGTTGCATTGTTCAGTCAGTTGATATACCTATTTATATGTTATTATCATACTGTTGACGTTCAACGCAGAGCGATTTCTCTGATCAGATCTTTTAGATCAGTCTTGTTCATATCCTCATTTATCCTTAAGCGAGCGTTTTCATTGAATGCCGAATAGTCCGTCTTGGTTCGACTTGACTGTAAGCGTGAGATTAAGCCTCCTTGAGAATCCCTGGACCGTCCTTCAGAATCTCTTCAGTGGTATTACATCAATCACTTCGTTCAGTTGATATATCCCAGATATCTCTCCTCCAAATATCTAGTGAGAATCCTTACTAGTTCTAGTTCAATTCTGCTATCTAGCCATCATCTGTTAAACATTTCTAATCTCCTAATCAGACCTAACTCATTCTCATAATCTGTGATAGTCTCCTTAATTCCACTCACCATCGCGTTTTTTAATCCTTTTAATCGCCAACTTATTATTAACTCATTTCTCACCACTATTCTTTATCACTAATTCCTTAACTTACTACAATACGCTTCATCTGATTTGTTACCGATGTTTATGTTATGCGGTACCTTTGAATTGATATGATTATAACTGATATTATATTAATACAAGTTATAATTGATGTAACTTGTTGCAAATGACACGCTATTAGCTCATTACAGCACAATATAACTGAATGCTATCGTCAAGCATGCTTGTTATAGCCTAAAGAAGCACATGATCACCTCGATACAAACTCTTATCATGGGTAAATCATTTCGATTTCACTATTATGAACTTAACTGAATGAAGAAATTGCAAATATTAACAAATAAATGAGAATTACATTCATCACACCATCTCAAAGCACATTGTTCTGTTGGCATCGCATGAAGTCAACTGAATCATTAATAATATTAACAATTCACTTGATTATCGTAAATATATCCACTTATTATATTACACCACCAAATTTCAACCAAAAACACTTCGTCGATTGCTATGAAGTGTGATTTGATCTCGTTGATAATGCGATCAATGGTTTGTTTCAATAATCACAATACTTCTTCAACATCTGAAGATAGATCGAAGCGATATCAGCAGCATTCTGTACACGAATAAAGATATGCTATCAACGCAGACATCTTCAAATTATCAATTCAGCACGTTCTCCATATGTGAACATCATTATTTCATCATTATATCTGTTTGTGTTGAATCGTTGATGTGCGGCGATACGTTGCTTGATTGCATGATATTATGTGATGTGAGATTTCGTCATATCTGTTTGTTGGTTGGAGCGTATTCGTGGATATTATGCTCGTCTATTTTATATCTTTGTCTCTTATTCGCTCGATGATAAGTTTCTAGTCAGTTCTTGATCAGAACGTGATTCTGGATTATTTGAGCAAATCTCTTGATTATCACTCATAAAGTATCTCCAGATCAAAGTCTCCAGATTGTTCAGTTATCATTTAGTTTGCAAGTGATCCATTCGTATCGTACTTTTCTAGGTTTTTATGTTCATATTATAGATCACCTTTCATTTTCTACTATTTATTTTTATTTGCTGATGATATTTGACTAGATCCCACACACACTTCAAGAAATTAGATTAGTAATAATGACAGAAACAGTAATGACTATAAGAATGAATGGCAGTAATGTTTTCATTTCCACCTGTGCTTTTATCTACTTCTATCTGAATAGAGCAAATCCTCTCAATGGTTCAAGTAACANAGTAATAAGCACTGTACGATATAATAGTAATAGTAACAATAATAATGAAGTTTTGCAAAAATATTAATAATGTTATTTGCACGATTAGTCAAGTAAGTGTAGGCGTTCAAGAGTGTGTCGAAGTGGCTAGTCATTCGGATGAGCAACGATAATTTTCAGTGATCATAAAATAATGGTATGAAAAAGCATCGTTGAATCGTTGAATCGCACCAGCACTATTATCTGATCATTCGAGAGCGTTTGATGCTGAATTCGTTATTGTTCCATATTGTATCCATGATGCATTATTCATATTTCACGAAACTGTTTTCGTGAAATACGAATATATATTACATTATGTATATATCGCCATTATACGTCAGTGCATTCAGATTTCTCGTATATGACGATAAATTTTGAGTTTTTGATTGCAGAACTTTGACTCGCAATCCGAAACGACCAACGAAATAATCGAATTCAAACCAGATTTATTTTACTTATCAACTACGCACCCAACTGACAGCCTAAGCGAAGTTAGTGGTTTTTAACATTGTACCACTTCACGCTTTTAAGATTTCGTTTGTTCATTACGATGTTCAGTTTTATTANGCGTGCGATTTAAGATGAATGCAATATCGAACTCATTTGATAGGGCAATCACTCGCTAACAAAAATGCGTATTCGTTTCAATAACTATTTATCATCGAGCAGACAACCTGTTGCACCTTGCAAACAAATCAATTATATCATTCAGAAGCAATGAAACAGAAACAGATCTTTTTCTTCGTTTTTTGTTTGTATTTTAGTCGATTCTCTATTTGCATCGCTTCAAAATGCTTTAGTTTTGTTCTTAATTGAAATTTATTATTTTCGTCTTCTATTGTGCAACAATGGAACAAGAGTTTGTGATAAGTGATCGTTGCATTCGTGTAGAGTTTTGCTTTCCTCCTTATAATTTTCTTCTGACCCAAACTAAATAGAATATTTTATGTATTCAGGCACGTACACATCCATTCAGAGAACATAAATAACGGGGCACTTTTCGAAATAAACCATTTTTCTCAGGATTACAACTATCAAAATGAACAACACCTGACCTGACTTCTTGGAGCAATAGAAGAGCTGACTGTTTCGAAACTTTTTTTTCAGCTGGTTTCTTGACGAGTTGTAAAAATGTGTGTGATAGCAATCAATCTGGAGGCTGAATGAATGAAAAGAAAAATGTTCTAAAATGTTATCAGATTGATGAAAAGAAACAGATCGCACTTCGTATATATTATCGATGGATAAAGCCAGTTGTTTGTTTGTGTTTTTGTAGCGGTCATATAATAGATATGGCTTATCACTCTGGTACTATCTTTGATATGTGAGGAAAGATAAGGAATTGTGATATGAATCTTGATAAAAGAACATAATGTTCTGATCGATTCCTGAGATAAACCGCACCTTTGGGCCAAATCAGATATTGTTCATTGTGTATTATGCTATGTTGTTGTTATTTTCATGGGTTTATGAAATCTTTACAACTGATCTTGATATCTGGATGCATGAAAATCTCTTGAGATCTCGAATGATTTTTTTTTCATCTATATTCATTCGTATGTTGATCCGGAGACGAACCCCGTTTGTCCAAGAAATATTTTAGAATTCTGGAAAAAATTAGAAATATCAAAATAAATTTCTCGTGCGGGATAGGATCAAATGATTAGATAGATAGAAAGGCAGACAACAATTGATAATCAATATTAGTAATCTTTATTGCATTCATCAAACCAGTTCTGCTAGATTTATTTATTGTTTTTCTTTTTTTCTCATTTCCAACTCCTTTTCCATCCGATGTCCGACTCTTTCCACGACNAATCAAAGAATGAATGCGAAGAAAAACGATCTCATCGCGTTTCCTTAAATTATCGACGTCATCAACATCTATCCTATTTATAGATATATTCATGTCAAACTCTCCAATAACGATAACTGTGATATGATACCATTCATATTCTCTGTTGGTTTCGTTTCGAATTGAAGACATTCCGAATTGGTGTTATATTGAGTATTATTATATTAACACACCGCTTGATGTTTTTTATATCAAGCAATGTCATCGTAATTATTTTGTGAAGAACTAATTGAGTAAAACCAAACGAAATGAAATATTTCTGCTTTTTTTGTGAAATTCTCTTCGTTTTCACATTCAGGAAGAGGAAATTCTGCCTGTATGAAAGAATATTTTTTCTGATCGCTAAGGAAATTTGATCATGAAATCGGGTACCAGGCTTAGATCGTTCGCTTCATTTGTCTGCCTGCCTATAGAATTTGATTAACTTCCACTTTTCTTGGTTTTTTTTCTCACAAAATGAAAAGTCCGAAAGTTAGTCGTATGTTTTTTGATGTTCGCGTACCATTTTCTACCAGCCATTACTGTTTTTCATAGAATTTTTCAAAATTTTTTCCGCTGATTCCATCAAATTTTATTCTTTGGTGGTATCACACGAATACCGATGAATGACTTTGTGAATTTGTATGCATTGTTGAGATGAGGATTGGGTTGTGTTTAAGTGCGATTTTAGTACGAAATGAGTTT